GATGATCACATACAACTTCTGCGAGGAAATCAGTACGTAAGCATATTTTCTTTTATGATTGAATGAGATTCTACGCATAAGATTTGCAGTCCTTTTTTTAAAAGAATTTATGTATTTGTTACTGTATAATATAAGATTTCTTTTATTCTTCAAATAAATTAATTTTACGAATTTTTTTTTTTTTTATTTTATAAAAAAAAATCTCTACAATATATACATTTCATATACTCGTAGCTTTCTATAAATTTTTTCTCTGGAAATAATCGCTGGAATAATCTTAAAAAGTCGACTTTTATCAAATCATTTGCTTAAATAAAAACCAGTCACATCGATTGGGAAAAGCCGATTCTCCAGCCTATCTTGCGTCGATGTTCCATAAATGTTTTTCATCTAGTATGCACATCTTAGGTCTTAGTAAAGATGGTCACCCCAAAGTGTCCTGGTGGTCCACTAGCCAATCGCGATCGACTTAATGCCCATCCCTTGCAGAAAGGGTCCTACTTTTACATAGGAGATCAGGACCTCAAGAAGTTTCAATACATCACTGAAATTTCTTTGATTACAAAACACCTTCTATGGTTACGTAGAGTCAACTGGCATCATGTCTAATAGCCTTTTAGGCTACAAATCCTGAACAACATTGATGAAATACAGATATATCACAGCTGTATGAAGTTTGGTCAATTCATGTTTGAAAAGGCTCAAAGGTAATGTGCCTATAGAAAGGTTATAGTATCAGCACATGGAACAGCCACTGAAGTCTTTGACAGTTCATCGTAAGAAACAGAGTCACATTATCATACCAGATGGTAGGTTGAAACAAATTCTGTTTGACATCACTAATCTTGACGTCTACCACGGGAATGTGGTAGTGTATCTGCTTTTCAAAACTCATGCAGAGTTCATAACAAACATATGTGATGTGAATCTGCTGGCATCCATTATAATTGGCTTTGATCACTGCAGATAACTTTGTAAATATGCTGGTGCCCAAGACTTAATAGTGAAAGTGAGTGTAATCCTGCTTCATCCAACCATCGTGAAAGGATAGGAAACAGAAAAGACTACATTGTCAACAACGATGTTGCTGAGCGTGTGTTTGATGGACAACGGATGTTGCTGTGGTTTTTACGGTGTACAATGGTGTTACTACACATTATATGGTGGACAAAGATTTCGTTAAAAAAATCAACTGTTGTTCCACAGAATCATTAAAGCTTTTGAAACGAGTTTACTCCTGTTGCAACAAATTTTCAATCTGCATGACCTAATAGCTGCCTATATAACCAGTTTATGGCTAGTCTATATCCCTGTTCAACAACCGTGATAAAAATCAGAAAGAAGCATCTGTCCTTTGCAAAATTGCAACATTTAAAAAGGGGTAAAAATAAGTCAAATGAGTAAACAATTGGATTGCTAGAGGTTATACCAACAACCCACCCAAAGTTCAACTCTGCCACCTTCGAATAAGTTCTACTAAGTGAGTGAGTGAATATTAACATCGCACTGTTCAGCTACACGAGAGCTGTTGGCGACGGACCACGTAATTTTGAACCATGGTCAAGTGAATTGGACGACACCTGAGTTGGCACACCACGGTGGGTCTTTAGTGGTACTGGGCTCGAACTCATGACATGCCTGCCATAATCCGATACTTCGACCACTGGGTTACCGCAGCCCTCTAATAAGTTCTAAGTAGCATATTTAGCATCGAGCATTATTGTACCATTTCCTATAGCCTGTTAGACAATATCATCAAATATTAACTTTAATTCATAATTCACTTGGAATGGAAGTAAAGATGAATCAATATCTTAATTCGAACAGTTTCCCAAACTAACAAAACAAAAGCCACTCAATCATTTTCAATTCAGTTGTCTAATAGAATCCAATAGGCTTTTAATGAGTTTTGGCATTATTGGTGGCACTTTTTGTAATGAACTGTATTGGCTCTGTCGAGAAAAGAATAAAATCCAATAGTTAATTGTTTTATAAGAATCCATTTGTGTAGCAGAAACCCACGCTGCGATAAAAGTCAATATTCATTAGTCAAAAGAATTTCAACATTTGCCGCCATATCGGTTAAGGAAATATCTGTGTAAGGAGTTTCTAGATAATTGGACTGCTTTTTCCGAGATGCTAGATTTTTTTCTTTCTCTAAGTCGGCTAAGAAATGCATAAAGTTGTTTGGAAAATTAATGATTTCGTGACGAGTTTCTAATAGTACAGTAGAACATCGTTTATTCGAACGTTTATTATCGGGAGCGACAAATATCCAGACCAGTTTTTTTTTTTTTGTCATACAAAAATTTTATATGAATACGGTTTCGAACAGTGCAATACTCAACAGTTGTTTCGCGTGAGGCCTCAATATGAAGGACGCCTGCTACATGTTAGCCGAAGCGTGGGACTCGCTCGAAAGACAGAGCCAGAAAAATGCATGGAATAAGCTGTGGCCAGAATTAGAAGGCGAAAAAGATGACCCCGGAGAAGATTACCGACTTTGTCTAATCGATCCCAGGATTTTAAGAATGCGATAAAGAAAATGTAGAAACCTGGATAGCATGCGATGCAGAAAACTGCAGATTTCAAATGCTAAATGATAATGAGATTGTGACTTAAGTGCAAAAAGATTCCAACCCTATCGACGATGAAACGCATGAAGACGAGGACAACAACAACGAAAGTAGCCTGGATCCATCAAATGCTGATGCGTTTTCTGTGTTAGAGACAGCTATAGAGAGGTACGAACAACAATCAGAGTGCTGTCCTACTCAACTACTGCTGTTCAACAGAATCAGAGACCTTGCAGCGAAAAAACGAAGGTGTACAATGGTACAGCGAAAAATAAGCGATTGTTTTCCACAATAAAGGCAAAATTGCGACATTTTACCCCTATTTTGCTTTTTCTTCAAGCCCGTTTCCGGCATGTGATGATTTTCAATATTCGTATAGTGTCTGGTTCCATACACTGCATAGATCGCATTCGGTTTTCGGTTATCCGAACAATCGTGTATCCGAACGTTGTCCAGTCCCAATTGATTCGGATAAACGACGTTCTACTGTATATGTATTTAAATACATGTAGTAAAAAAATTAATGCGTTTCAAATCACAAAGAACAATCTCTTTTCAGCGTATTCTTGCTTTTTGAAAGACGTAATGTATATTCTAGTATTTATCTCATCGCTTGATTTTATTTTAATTAACGTCGCAGCGCGAAGCAACAGGGGGCTATTGGCAACGGATCTCGTACTTTTGAACCACGGTCAAATGTGAGCCCGACATCTGAGCTGGCATTTCCCTCTCCTAACTTCGATACCACTCCTACGGGAGAACAATGAGAAAACGTGCATCAGCGCCCTCTACACGGCGGGTTTTCAGTGGCACCAAGATTCGAAACCTCAACGCTCTGGCTACAAGTTCGCGATCATAACCACTATGCTACCATGGTCATATCGCAGGGAAATGAGGAATTAGGAATTTGATCAAATCCCTAGGGGATATTATCAATTCACGGAAATATTAAAAGAACGTTTCTTGAAGGTCGTTTCCCTGATGAAACTAAATGATTTGATTAAATACCTGTAATGTTTCAGTGAAATGATGAAATAATATTGCCAAGGTTTAAAAGTGTTTATTTAGCAAATAGGGTGCATTATTAAAAGTAGAGTAATACAACAATATAGTCATTGAAATACAAATTATTAATTCAAAACTAATTAACGATAGAATTAGATAATTAGGCTGGTTTTTAAAAAAAAGAAACTGTATTTGTAGTAATATTTCAAACATTTTTTTTTCATGAATATAATTAATAAAAAAAGGCTTATTCATTTTTGTTAAAACACGTCATTGATTTGTGTCATCTCGAGTTACAAAATACGTCACTTTTTTTACAAACACGTCTTTTTGTTTTACATTGTAATTTGAATTGCTCACAGGAATAATTCTTAAATCCATCACCTTCAGATAAAGATAATTTTCCTGCAGAGTTAGATTAATCTGTGGAAATGTTTCGCGGTAAATGCTGTAGTAGCTATTTGATGAGCGTTTCTAAGTAGCCAATCTTTTATAATTCCAACAAAGGTTCCAATTTGGTATTAATTACTCTTTAATACGCGATACCCACTATGTTATTTCCATTTAATAGACTTCTATCTTAATCTAATAGACCCATCCCCCCAGATGACCGATCAGATGCAAAGGGGAGTGGTAACAATCGAAAATAGAGCTGTGCGAATCCTGACTTGTTCATTTCATCTTTTCACTAGAACAGTTCAGGGATTTGATCAAAACACTTACTTTCATCAGGGAAATGACCTTCAAGAGACGTTATTTTAACATCTTCCATGAATTGATCATATCCCTTAGGAATTCGATCAAATTGTTAATTTCCTCATTTCCCTGCGACCGCCACATTTGTTTCATCACGATGACTGTAAACAACTGCAAAACTGTTCTCAAAACATATCTTTATTAAACCAATCAAATTTCTGTATTCGGAACAAAAATTGATTTACTTAATGATGATTGCCTTAAAACTATTAATCATTAATTGAACTTATATATCTCTGTCAAACATTTCATGTATAATACTCAAAGATTTCAGGAAGTTATTGAGAAATTTCTTGCTAGTAAATTTTTCTTTAAAAAATCCGAGATCCGCTGACTATTGTAGCAAACACATTGAAAACAATTAATATATATATAAAGAAATTAATCAGTTCCTACTTAGGTAAACAAAGAAAAATTTTATTTTAGTTACTTTTTAAAATAGTCACAATTAATATAAATATGTAAATATATATAACAGAGTCACACTTTAAGTGACAAAATAGAAAGCGAATTTCCTTGCAATTTTTCATTTTCCTTTCTATATAGGGTTGTTGGACTATTTTCTCTTTTTGTTTATTGCTATTTATTCATTAATTAAATTTAATTTAATTATTCTAATAAAATAGTACAGTAAAAAAGAAATCACATTCTCAGAAATTAGGCTATCTCCAGGTGGGATTCGAACCCACGCCTTTTGGATTACAAGTCCAACGCGCAATCCCTTGCGCTATTGGGATACAATGACCGATAATCCTTTCTATATATGCTGTTGGACTATTTTTGTTTGTTAATATTTATTCATCTTTTAATTTAATTGATGAATTTATATTTGAAAAAACTGTATTAACATCAAGTGTCATCCACTACAAGTTTTAAAAAATGTAATTGAACTTGAATGGATGAATTTAAAAGTATTTTATGAACGATTGAACATTTGAGCGATATATATATAGTATATATATATATATATATATATATATATATATATATATATATATATATATATATATAGGAGAGTGAATTAATAGTAGGAATTGAATTATCCTTTATAGACTGCGTTGCCACTCATCCGAAGTTTTAAAAATGAATTACAACACTTTTTAAAAAATTAATATCTTTGATGATGTTAGGGTGTTTTAAAAATATGTTTCCGATGTCAATAATCCATGAGTTTCCCTTTGCAATACTAATAAAATTAATGAAAAGATTCACTTAAAACAAATACCCTCGAAACTTCGAAACATGCAGCTTTGCATTATTTATTGAGAACACTCAATGACTTCTCTTCATTTTATTTTGACATTCTTTTTTCCCCAATCAGCTTCTCATATTCAGGAATTTTTAATAAAGCTAAGCATGAAGCATTTCTATCGGGATGTGTTCTTTTTTAATTATCAACGATTTGTCTTAACAAAGTATAATCGTAATCAATGGGGTTAATTTGTTTTATTTAAGAAAACATTTGATGTTGACATGCGTTTCAATTTCTGAGATAATTAATAATTACATTCGTAATAAGCTCTTTCGATGGAAGGAGGATAAATATTTAAATATACTTCTAATAGCAATAATTTATTGTAAAAACCAGTTTGTTCTTAAATATTACTTTGTTGTTTCGAAGAATCAAAGCAAATATTGAGTTCAGGTCACAAATTTCTAAAGACCATACGGCTTATGCATTTTAAATCCGTCGGGGATAAAATTCCTCTGGAGAGGTATGGATGGGATGAGTGAGAGCAAGCTGAAGTGTCATCCTCGTCAATTGATTAGGAATCAGAACGAAAAACTCAATCCCCAACAGCACTTATGATGCTTTCGATGTGAAACATTAATTATTGATCTATAATGAGAGGCACAAGTTTTTAATCTTATTAATAAAAATTATTCACTCGATCATTTTCAATAATGATCCGTGAATATATAACCCTCCCCCCTCCCCACACACACACTCTTTTGTGATTTTTTTGATGGCCGCTTCTAAGGGCATGGAATTTGAAATGAAACATATACTTAATTAAGTTCTAAGATTTTGTATTGTGGAGGCTTAAAAACCTCAAATTGGTAGGATGGTGAAGTTTGGAGAACGGAGTGCATGCTCGGAGTCGTCCTCGTCACTTTATTGAGGTCCAGAATTATGAGATGTGTTGTTAATAGTAGCTTCAAAATATAACTTTGAAAAAATAAACTATCAATTTTAAAATATAACATACACCCGTAAGGTCACGCTTCCAAAAATATTTTTTTAAATCTTGTTTACAAAAAAAAAGGTTAATATATTCCCCATCCCTATAGATGACGTGAATTTCCGTTATCCGTAGCATACAGTTGTAAAACAAAAGAGAAGAATGTACAACTTTTTGTGTTCAAAGTGTTAATATTTTTAATTAGTCAAACTTGAATGAAAATTTAACACTGGGGGTTTCGCGTCTGATTGACCACCTGACCGGAACATCTGCTCATGCACTTCAGGGCCCAAGGTCGCGTATACTGAGTTGTGCACCTTGGCCCGTATGGGCTGTTGCGTCACTGAGTTAAGTTAATTAATCCAATTAATTATCAATTACGAATACTTAATTAAATTTTAAGTACTATATGCATAGGATTATAATCAATCGAAAAAAATCAAGAGCTTTAGGGGGCGGCTCGGAATCGAGGCTTCCCCCCCTTGTGTGCGCTACTGACTAGGATACTTAGTGCATATATGCATTGCTTCAAAAAAAGAATTCATTTACCAATAGTTTAAATTTCTTCTTTGATGATACTAATAAAAAAAGCATACAGTAAAAGTAATTTATTTAACAAAATAGCACATCACTCTTCTGCCTACATAATCGATAATTTTTTTTTTTAGAAAAGAAAAAGATTTTAAGCAATACCTATAAGCGAACAAGAACTATCTCAGATTCTTCTAAATATGAATTGAGTTAAGTAAAATTGAATTATACCACGTTGTGATGATGAAGAAATTTAAGAATTTTTAATGAGACACTGGTAAATTTAATAAATGCAATTATTATGGAGGAATGAAAGAAAATTTGTTAAATAAAAAAAAGAGTTCATTAACTAAATAAGTCTAGAAATATGTTATAGCTTTCTTTGCCCTGCATTAGCAATCAACTATTGATTGCTCTTCTAACATATTTTAGTGCGCCTTAGATGAAAGAAAGATATTTTATTTTATTAAAAATTAGATTATATTTTACTTCATTAATCATTTCCAAAATACAGAAGCTACTTATACCTAATACTTTAGCAATATATTACTAGAACATTATTTTTGTATCGGTTGGAGAAAAGCTAACTTAAGGTATCCGACTACATTCGGAACCGGGATTTTGCAAAAGCGTATCCTTATCAGGACTTGGTATCCTTACTGTATAATGGGTTTACTCTCGTACCTCCTACTAATCCTCTTGGGGGCGAACTGTTTCTTTAAATATTATTCTATTGAAAATTTTCTTCCGAAGATTATGTGACTTATGCAAATTAAGGCTTATATTTAAGCATTAACTTTCAGAGTAGAGAGTGAGTGAATATTAACGTCACGTTCAACAGTGTGACGTTACACACTGTAACGTCACACTGTTCAGCTACACGAGGGCTTTTGGCGGACCAAGTCATTTTGAACCATGGTCAAGTGACGTGGACGACACCTGAGCCCCAGATTTAACGTGCATCGCTGCCCTACACGGCGGGTCTTTCGTGGTACTAGGCTCGAACTCATGACAGGCCTGCCATGATCCGATACCTTGACCACTGGGCTACCACAGCCCCTTCAGAGTAGAGAGTGAGAGAGGTTATGAGCTAAAGGATAGCAGATAGTGATTAACATAAAGCTAGTCGAGAGTGATTTGTAGATTATTTAATTAATATTTAAGTATTGACGATTTGGTCAATTTGATGTTTAAATTGGATTAGTAACGGCTTGAAGTATATTAACTTAAAACGTTACTTCGATTATTTGGAGGGGCCGCGGTAGCCGAGTGGTATAGGTATCGGATCGTGGCTTGCTTTGTCACGAGTTCGAGCCCAGTACCACTAAAGATCCGCCGCGTAGGGCAGAGATGCACATTAAATCTGTCGAGAGCTGAAACGTCCTCCCGTTGGTGTGGTGTGGTAATTAGGAGAGAGGGTGCCAGCTCAGGTGTCATCCACGTCACTTGACCATGGTTCAAAATTACGTGGTCCGTCGCCAAAAGCCCTCGTGTAGCTGAACAGTGCGACGTTAATATTCAATCAATCGATTATTTGGAATGCGTATGGCTAAGACGTCCCAAAGTAAGTGATTCAATTTATAACTAAAATATTAATTAGATCGTCTTCCTCGCGTTTGCTCCCATATTTATCTAAATGTACATTTCCTAACTTAAGTTGTTGAGAATTGTTAATAAATTGTATTTGTTTGTTTTGACTGTGGCTAATCTTCCTTTTAACTCTCGCACTCTGATGGATGGGACAGCCCATCCATTACAACTGGATAAGTCCGAGGAGGGGAAAATGACCGAGGATTGTCAGCGAGGTGACCATTATTGCCGCTTCCCTTGATGCTGCAGCAGACACGGGAACTTCTACAGCGGTGAATTGAAGGAAGATTATGAAAAATGAGTGGTGTCACATCTCCTTTTCAGAAGAATCGTAACTCTGTGTTAACATAGGGATGGAAATATCCTTGTGTAGGAACACCGAAGAAAACGAAACTCCAATTTATATTCATCATCAGACAGAACCATGGCAACCAGAGTGAGTGCATAAGGGGCCATTAGGTACAGATCCTGGAAAGTTCTTGTTCGCATGCGCACTACTTTGAACATTAGCCTTTATAAATCTGACGCATTAACCAGTTAACTGTGACGCTCCAGTTTGAGAGTGCGCAATTGTGTGTGTCATGAAAATCAATCGATGACGAGTATACTTGTCAATCACAGAGTAAGTTGCGCTGCTAAAATATTGGATAAAAAATGGATTTTATAAAATTGTCAATTTTGTTACTAATACTTATTATACTATAGGGAAAGGGCTGTGTATGTGGATATAAAGTAATTTAGCTTGGTGGCGGGTTCCTGAGACCAACGGTCCTTCCGACCTTAAGTTTTTACGGATATCTATCAATTTTAGAGACCATCAAAATCCTCGGACTGAAACCTAAGCACACAGAGATTTACTTCCTCTTTCACTGACGGGACATTTTCTACTTGTCTTGTCACTAAGGAAGTTCTGGAGAAGTGCTGTTGGGTTGATCATAGTCTTCTTACCACAAACCACATTCTTCCTTTTCCCACCTCAATAAAAAAAACTGTTCTTTAGTTAGTACGGCATTGGGCTCTAATGTCAGCACATGGTTATAACATCAAACAATTGGCGTTTATATCTCTCGATAGCGAGGTCATTTCAGGCCAACAGCTATCAATGGGATCAGCTCGTGGTCGACATCACGCATTTGTCCCATGTCTGACCATATAACTGAAGGAACCCTATTTCAATCAACTTTATGACTTTTTCACTTGCCCTTTTTAGGCTAACATCTAAAAAACATTATCATCGCACATAAATAAATTCGTTATGCGAACTTATAGCGAATTTCAGCCAGTGCATTACGGGCATGTAAATTTTCATTCTTTTTATTTATTTGTCTTACTCCTGACTGGCCTGAAAATATTCTAAACATCTTGAAATTTCAGAATATATTTTGTTTTTCTCAAAAATTATAGTTTAAATAGCCAATGGTCACTACTTTTTA